GAGTTGGAGTCTAACAACATCTGGAGGGTCACAGGTTCCCCATCCATGTAGAAATGACATGCATGGGGTTTCAGAAACCTTCTTGGGCTGCTTACCCAGAGAATAGCCATTTGTCCAACTCTCAATTCTTCTATGGGGTGTGTGTGTGTTTTAAAATACAGACGTAACAACCTTGTGATTTACAAGCATGACAAGGCCCATTTTCTGATGCCTACAAAGCACAAGAGACGCATCCTGGAGATAACTGAATGTGCTCTAATCTGGACAGGGTTTGAGTCACAAGAATATGATTCAGGAGCAAACTTTTTACAGAGCTGGAGCACATTTCTTCCTAATTTAAATAATTATTTTAAACAAACCTCATTTTTAAAGAACCCTCTTCTGGATATAAATTTTCCAAAGTTAAATATTGCTTTGAAATAGAATGTGGTTATTGTAAGGATGTTTAAATTGTAGGAATTTGGAGGGCGAGGGGGATGGGGAGACTCTGGGCACAGTTGCGTAGTCGAGCCTTCTCTAGCTTGCAGCAGAGTGTATCTTTATGAAAAAAGTGAAGACTGAGAGCTTTGGGCTTTGCTGTACTGCGGAAGACCCTTAGACTATTTTTATTCGACTGCAGCATAAAAGTCTGCAGCAGCATAATTAATCATATGAATTTGCTTTCTGAGCCTGTGCACAAGGATGTCCCCTTTCCCAACAATTTGTCACCGAAAAAGACTTCATAAGTCAAAATGCATCTGGTGTATCTGTTTAGGAAAGTTTTTAATGTTTGAAGTTTTATTCTGTTTTTAGTGTTCTGTTGGAAGCCGCCCAGAGTGGCTGGGGAAACCTAGCCAGATGGGCGGGGTGTAAATATTATTTATTTATTTATTTATTTATTTAGAAACACCTCTATTGTGGTGTTCATCTTCAAATCTTCATCTTCAGCATATCAATGATTTGGGCAACCAAGTCTTTGTATTACATTGCTGTGATGCAGTTAGCATTTGAAGAATGTATCCAGTCATCCCAGCTAGAAGTTGCAGAATACACTGATGTATACAGTGGGCTGGATTCAACTGACCTGGCGCTCTAGTGGAAACCATCTCCAAGACTCCTGCTGGTACAACAGGGCTTTCACCCCTCTCCTCCCCTGTGCATCTCCCCAAATCTACTCTGGAAGGTCAGGAGAACCTCTGGAACTACACATGGGGCAAGGGGAGATCATGCCATCTGGCAAGCAGAAATTAATGATTGTACTGATGTAATGTTGAATTCCTTCCAGCATCTGCATTTCATTGTTGTGAAGCCATAGGTTTGCAGGTTTGATCTCCATATGGGATAGCTGCATATGCCTGCATTGCAGGAGGTTGGACTAGATGATTCTCCAGGACCCTTCCAACCCCACAATTCTGATTCTGATTCTAATATTATTTGGTTGTTAGTGTATATGGCCACAGGCCACAGAGTAATTCTTCATAAAGCTTTTATGTCCTTTCATATATGTGTTTCTGCAGCCTAGAGGTGGGCAAATGTCCCCATCTTCAAAAAGGGGGAGGGAGAAGACCCAGGTACCACTCAGTGAGCTTGATATTGATACTAGGAAAGGTCCTAGAACAGATTAAACAGTCAGCTCTTAGAAATGGATGCTGTGATTACTAAGACCCAACATGGGGGTTTCTCAAAAACAAGTCATTCCAGACTTCCTTCTCTCTCTCTCTCTCTCTCTCTCTCTCTCTGAGTTACAAGCTTTGTAGATCATGAAAATATGTTGGATGTAGTATATCTTGATTTCAGGAAGGCTTTTGACCAGGTCCCCCATGGTATGCTTGTGGAGAATCTGGTAAAATATGGAGTGGGCAAGAGAACTGTTAGGTGGATTTGTGCTGCAGGGTTCTGTCCTGGAACTGTTGCTGTGCAACACCTTTTAAAACGACTTAGATGAAGGTGTTGAAGGTATGCTCATCCAATTTATATAGAAGATACCAAAATGGCCACAGAAGACAGAATTGGAGTTCAATGTGATCTTAGCACATTGGAGAATTAAGCCCAAACCAGCACAATGACTTTTAACAGGGACAAATGTAAGCTTCTGCACTTAGGCAGAAAGAACCAGCTGCACAAATGTTAGCTGGGGGACCACTGGCTTGCTAGCAGTACACGTGAAAAGGATCTAGGCTCTTAGTAGACCACAAGCTTAATAATAATAATAATAATAATAATAATAATAATAATATCTTTATTGTCATTGCCCCCTTCGGGGACAACGAAATTACTTGACTGCTCCATAAAAACACTAATTAATCAATACAGTATAATACAGCAAGGGAGATTAGATGACTTTCAAAGTCCGGGCTTCCCATTCAGGGCCGAGATCGCTCTGGAGAAGAAGCTGTTCTTAAGACGGCTCGTTCTTGTCTTCATCGTCCTGTATCTCCGTCCCGACGGCAAGAGCTCGAAGAGACAGTGACCAGGATGCGATGGATCTTTTACTATGTCCAGTGCCTTCCTATGGCACCTTGTGGCATAAATCTGCTCTAAGGTGGAGAGTGGGCAGCCAACAATGCTCTCTGCTGCCTTAACAACCCTGCACAACCCCATCCTGTCCTGGGTAGTACAGCTTCTGTACCACACACATAAGCCATAAGTGAGCACGCTCTCAATGGCACAGTGATAGAAGGCAAGCAGCAGTTTCTGCGGAAGATGGTTTTTCCTTAGTATTCTCAAAAGTACAGTCTCTGCTGCGCCTTCTTCACAAGCCCCCTTGTGTTGACACTCCAGGACAGATCCTCTTGTAATTCAATGCCCCAAAATCTGAACGTTGTTACCCTCTCCACACAGACCCCATCAATCAAAAGTGGCTGGACGTTGCTCTTCTGTCTCCTGAAGTCCACCACAAGCTCCTTTGTCTTCCTTGTATTTATGAGCAAGTTGTTAGCTCTGCACCACTCTGTCAGCCGCTCCACCTCATCTCTATAATCCGTTTCACCCTCCCTTTCAGAGATGAGCCCAATCACGGTTGTGTCATCTGCAAATTTGACAACCCTATTACTAGGGTGAGTAGCAACACAATCGTACGTATAGAGAATATAAAGGAGCGGACTGAGTACGCATCCCTGTGGTGTTCCTATGTTAGTCTTGAGCATATTAGAGGTATAGGGGCCCAACCGAACCCTCTGGGGGCGGTCTGACAAAAAGTCCAATATCCACCCACAAAGTGATAACGGAAGCCCCAGATTAACATGAGCCAACAGTGTGATGCAGCAGCAAAAAAAAGCTAATGCTATTCTAGGTTGCATCAACAGAGGTATAGTGTCCCAAGCAAGGAAATACAAATCATGCTCTATCCTGCCTTGGTCAGACCACACCTGTGTCTGGGTACAACAGTTTAAGAAGGATGATGACAAGTTGGAATTTTCAGAGGGCATTCATGATGATAAAGAATCTGGAAACTATGCCTTGTGAGGAATGGTTGAAGGAATTGGGTATGTTTAGCCTGGAAAAGAGAAGACTGAGAGGCGATATAGCAGCCATCTTCAAAATAAGTGCTGTCACATGGAGGATGGAGCAAGCTTGTTTTCTCCTGTTTCAGATGGTAGGACCCAAACCAATGGATTCAAGTTACAAGAAAAGAGATTCCTACTAAACGTCAGGAAGAACTTTCTGACAGTAAGAGCTGTTCAATAGTGGAACAGACTCCCACAAGAGGTGTGGGACTCTCCTTCCTTGGAGTTTTTAAAGCAGAGGTTGGTTGACTGTCATGTATGATCTAGTCAAATTCCTAACCATAAGGGGTACGCAGTAGGAGGACTTGCATATTCTTGGAGGACTTATATTGAAGTTTCTTTATATTATAATGTAGCCAAGATGCAATTGAATAATAAAGCATAAAAGTTCACCGTAACAATGTTGTTTTATTCTAGCCCATTCCCCATAATTGGTCTGACAGTTCATAGCATTTTTACCATCAGATGTTAAATGTCGTAATATTTGGATGAAATATTAGTGTAGCACTATTTTTAAAGTTTTTACAATATTGTGTTGTTTTTAAGTTGCAAGTGGGCTTTAAAAGTCCTAAAACGTTTTTTCAAAGAGCGTGCAAGCTTTGTGACTCCTAAAACTGAAGAAAAATCATAAAATGTTTGGTTTTGCTCCTTTGTCTCTTAGTGGCTTCCTTTCTTTTCAGTACTCCCATTTTCTTAAAATGCTTCTCAACCATTTCTCCTTTTCTACCTTCTGTTGCATCACACTGTTTGTAGCTGGGCAATGAAAAGGACACCATGCTCACAATAAGAGAATTTTCACTGTGCTTTCCATAAACAGGCACAACATTTTTATTCAGTTTGGTTGTGTATCAGACACAGAGGTATTTAACCTCAGGACTGATACATGAAGTACCCATGGCTTTCACTGTTGGAACTGCTGAGTCACATGCAGATACGTAGCACTGTTTGCAAATAAGTTTGCTTCCATTTATTGAAATATAGCTAGCAATCATCCACATGGTGCATTGATTATTAAGCATTGAAGCATTTGATTTGCATTTTGGTTAGCAAACAATGAACTATGCTGTTTTATGACTGAGAACATTTCAGCTATTGTCAATAGGAGGGAGAGATAGCAATAATATTTGTGTGTGTGAGAGAGAGAGAGAGAGAGAGGGAGAGAGAAAGAGAGAAAATGAGAGAATTCTTGTGGGTACTTTGGTTTTCAGCCTTGAGAGTTTCTAGGATGGGAACAGATTGCTGGAACTCTACAGTGATTACCATCTTCCCATGGTATCTAGAAGCACATATTCACCAATTATATCTATTATTTTGGATACATACTGGTGGTGCTATCAAGCCTACCAAGATTAGCATTTGGAAAGCACTGTATGGGGTTTACCTTTGAAAGTTATAAAACTGCATCTGATAGAGGGCACAGAACTGCCTCACACTAGGAACCATAGTATCATACAATTGTAGAATTTGAAGGGACCACGAGAGCCATCTAGTCCAAACCCCTGCAATGCAGTCTTTTGCCCAACGTGGGGCTCAGATCCATGACCCTGAGATTAAGAATCTCATGCTTTACCGACTGAGCTATCCCAGGTCACAGGAAAATATGTAGCTGGGAACACCAGCCATTGCTGGTACAATCCTTGTACGTTGGTGTACATGCCTTTCAAAACGTGTGTTTCTGCTGTTACACATTTCTGTTTTTAGTGCCAACTCCCACCAGGCACAGCAAGCATGGACAATGGTGGGAGACAGACTTGTCATTCAGCAATATTTGGAGAGCCAACGTTTTCCCATACCTGTTGTATATGGGAAGCTCTGGTTTGTTGAGCAATAGAGAGTTCTTTTCCTACTCTGCAGGCCTATGAATTGCAGGTAAATTTATTGTTGCAACTTGATTCTTCTTGACAATCAATTCACTGCTCTGTAGGCAGAAAAGAGTGTTTCTTCTACATGACAAATATTCTCTGATAAATGATTCCAAAAGGATGTGGGGCGGGGAGTGATATGACCTTTTGTGGTTTGGGGCTGCTTGCACCCTGGGTAAAAGAGTGAGTCTCTTTTCCGTCCTTCCTTTCTGCACTTAACAGCGGTTATTTAGGAAAAAGTTCACCTGTTGTATTTGCTTATTAGGATGTGGCTCTTGAACACATTCCCAACCTTACTGGGTTTGGATTTCCAGGAACTGGCCCCAAGCGAGCTTGCAATGTAGCCTAATTCCCTCCCTCCCTCACCCGCATTATGCATTTCCAATAGCAAAAGGGTGTAAGAGCGATTTGGGAAAGCTTTGCCAATAGCTCTTCCACTGCTCGCTCAAACCAAAGATAACGCAAGTTAAGTGAAATAAGGCTTTGGCTTCATAAATATTTAATAAGGAAACATGGGAACAGTGCTTAAAGGCAATAGGCAATAGTGCTAGTTTGCAAATAAAAACAAAATTCCTTAGCTAATGGCTGTGCAGCCTTCTGTTACCTTTTCATTGCTGTGCTTTGTATGTTTACATGTTAGGACAAGATTAAACCTGGCCAGCCAAAAATATTGTGGTGATTAGACAATTCAAGAGCCTTTTTTAAAAAAGAAAAGAGGGGAAAGGAGTGCTATCTTTTCCACATGTCAGTTAATATTCTTTCTCCTGACATCATTCCAAAAATATATGTCCTTTGACTACTGGCTCTTGGTTTAATTTAATTTCATCTTTGAAAGGAGCAGCTATTATTTAAAGGGCGTATGTCACTGTGCTGATTGTAAGCCATCTCTGCTTGCGTCTTTGTTTTCAAAAGCTCTGTTGCATTGTGGTAAGTGCTTCCCTCTCCAACAGTTGAGTTGAAATCAAAGAGATATGTATGGCTACAGCATCCCATTAACCTATTAACCCCACCTAGTGAGTTATTTGGTGAGCAGTCTCTTCCTCTGTTCTGTTCAGTATTCTTGAGTCTGTCACTGGGATTTCAATGACAAGAATGGCCTAGGGGGGTTAGTTTTCTAAATCTCAAATGATCTGAATATTCATGCTGGTTTTAAGCAATGGTATATATCTATATTAATAATGTCCAGATTAATTTAGCAGTCTTTGAAAGGATAGGAGTGCAGTAGAGAGAAACATGGGCAGATTATGTTTTTATTCTCCTTTGAGATCTTCATACTGTATTTGTCATTATTGTTAGTCCCCCTCCTATGGGTTATCGAATGGCCAAATGTGTTTGGTCCACAGATGCCTTCACCTTTGTATAACCAGTCACCATCTCAGATAAAAATTAGCCACTTCTCCACTCTTCTGCAGGAGCCTGCACTTGAGGAAGTCTTATCAAATGTGGTTTATTTCAGCATTTATACATTGCCTTTGGAGATTCCAAGGTGCCTCAGAACTTATTAAAAACGCATAATTTGTTTAAAAAGTGGTAGCCAATGTGGTGCTCTCTAGATGTTGATGGACTCCAAATCCCATAATCCCTGACCATGCTGGCTGGGGTTTATAGAACTTTTAGTCCAACAACATTTCCAGGGCACCATGTATAATTGTGTTCTATACAACCAGTCTGTAGAACTGTAGTAAGTTATATTATTTCCTTTGGATACAGGGCTGGCTTGGATATCACTTTGTCTGCAACAGTAGAAGTATTAAGTAGATGTAATGTTCTTTCCCCCTTCATTGCAGAACATCTTAATATGCCTCATTTGCTAAGAAATAGCACAGGATGATGGGAAGGTTAAATGCCTGCAGTTATAAGATAGCAAAAAGGGGTTGAGCAACAGGCACATGATCCTAGTGTCAAGAAGCTGTGGCAGAGGAGAAATCCAAGGGTTCTTGGAGTGCTTGTGGGAAAAGTGCCTATGTTGCATTAGTAAGGCACACAGGGACTAATCTCTGGATTCTAGCAGAACCACTCTGCAGTGGGATTAGGCTTGGAGGGGAAGTAGCAACAGAATGACTTCAGAAGGTTTATGCTAGATAAAATCTCAGTAAGCAAGGCCATGGCAAATTGCAACTTTCTCCATTTGGGGGAAAAATGGTGTGTTTTATAATTGCAGTGACTTTATTTTCTATTGCTGTAACACCTTGCTGCCATCTCTGGGACCATACAGTGAAGGGCAGGTAAAAAAATAAATCCTATAAATAAAAAGAAAGTCAGTTTCATAAGAACGTAACCCGGCTTGGTAAGAAACACCAAAGATCAGCCAGGCCTTTTCAGGACCATGGAGAGTTCCCAGTTAGCTCTGCTGGCTGTTACTTCTCTACTCTAGACAGTGGAGAAATGGACAATGACTTGTTCTGCAGTTCTTCCACTGTTTCTGTAGCCCTGGCTTCTGTGGCGCAGGGGGAAGGAAATGCTTTCGAAGGGAGCATGGCCACAAACTCAAGCTAGAAGGGCATGGGAGCTGTGCTGAAGGCTCCTGAGTGGAGCAGCCTGCAGCTCTTCATCTGGGTCTCCTTTGGTAGAGCAGGGAGCTGGGTTTGAGGGGTTGTAACATTTTGCTGTTAAACTGAGAGAAGAGAATTGAGTGAAGTTTGACAGCCTAAATTAGCTAGGTGATTCTCACCTTGTCTTGGGACTTCCAGGGTGAGGGTTAGATGCAGGATGTGGTTGGCTTGGTAATATTTTGACCAGAACACAAAAATACTCAAGAATGTCCCCAGCTAGGGATCCAAATAAACCACAAGGATTTATTCCATTATATATTATTGTGAATAATAACTCTCCAGGCCTTCCAAGAAAGTAAGACATAGGATTAAGACAACATGCAGCATAAAAATTATCGCAGTGCTGTAGGTATAACATTTCATCATGTTTCACATTCACTTATACTAATGTAGGCATATGTTTCCTATCCATCATTCTGCCACACACAAAAACTCTTAAATTAGATATCATTTCAAGACTGGGATTATTTGTAGTGAAGTTGGTTATTCCTTGCAACTATTCTTCTTGTTGTTGTTGTTGTTTAGTCATTTAGTCGTGTCCGACTAAATGGACACCATGGACCAGAGCACACCAGGCACTTCTGTCTTCCACTGCCTCCCACAGTTTGGTCAAACTCATGTTGGTAGCTTCGAGAACACTGTCCAACCATCTCATTCTCTGTCATCCCCTTCTCCTTGTGCCCTCCATCTTTCCCAACATCAGGGTCTTTTCCAGGGAGTCTTCTCTTCTTATGAGGTGGCCAAAGTATTGGAGCCTCAGTTTCACGATCTGTCCTTCCAGTGAGCACTCAGGGCTGATTTGCTTAAGAATGGATAGGTTTGATCTTCTTGCAGTCCATAGGACTCTCAAGAGTCTCTTCCAGCACCATTAATTCAAAAGCATCAATTCTTTGGTGATCACCCTTCTTTATGGTCCAGCTTTCACTTCCATACATCACTACTGGGAAAACCATAGCTTTAACTATACGGACCTTTGTTGGCAACTATTCTAGCTGTCTTTAATTCCACTGAAAACATTTATGGGGCTATTGGAAAAAGATCTGTATTTAGGGAAATGGCCTGATATTTTAGCACTCTTTAATCCCACTGATCTCTCTTTGCATTGTGGTGTAAAATATATGTGTTCACATTTCCATGTGTCTTAGACAGGAGATCTCACTAACTGAGGAAGTAGATGGGGAGGGAAGCAGATCAGCCTAATGGGTTACCCTGCACTGATTAGTAATTCACTAAATTATTAATTCCTCCTGCATAGCTGAATAATACGTTTTTCCTTCTGCAGAAGTTGCTTCACTCTGGATGTGGGAGAAAGATTCTTAGTGGGCCGCTCTGAGATCATAGGGACTTTGCTACAATGTGTGCTGTGTTTGGGGATTGGAGACTTGCAGAACTGAGTGTTCCGTTGTACTATTGAGCTGTAATATAATATATCCTCTCCAACTAATATTTATTTATAAAATGTCAGTGAATTAAAGTGCAAAAGCCAGAGTAACATAATTACCTTAACAATGAGCACATGTATTCTCCTGGTTCACAGTCAGCCAAACTATGACTTACCAGGACCTTCCAAACATGTGGGTGCCAGAAAGGAACAACTCGTGGCTAGATGACAAGCTAACCCAAACCTTGGCTTAGTTCAGCTTGTTGCAGGAGTTAAAAAAAAGACTAGGGAAAGGAAAGTAGCTGCCAGCTGATCTCTGGGAGCCCCCAAATTTGTGTGGTCCGAGAAAGCTATGGTGTAAGCTTTAATGGACTGAAGCCCACATCATTAGATGCATCTATATTTGCATAGCACCTTCTTCTTGTAAGATTCTATGTGTAAGTATTGTGTGGTCCACAGGTATGTACCTCATTATGCAACTACTCTGGTTTTTCATGCAGAAATTTCACTAAAAAGAATGCACTGGACAGGATTCACCTAATATGCCTCTGTACAAGGGTTTCTGTTTGTTCAGAGAAGCTTTTCCCCCACTCCTCCCCACCTTGTGCCCTCATGCTCCCCCAAATTGCCTTGAGGGGGTTGGGAGAATTCCTAGAAAAGTAAGTGGGGGAGGGGAAAATCATTCCATCTGGCAAGCTGCAATGCTTGCCCAGATGGAACATTCAGAAGTGAACAACATTGATTTTCACCCACTATCTTTGGAACATTTTCTTGCAAAATAATATAAGCTTTTA